ACACACCACTGAGTGGCGATGGAGGGGACAGCGGCCTGGGGCTGCAGAGCGTGGGGCGAGGACACGTTCTTCCCAGGACGTGTACCTGAGGGAGGCAGTCACGTGACTACATCCGGGGCTGGTCCACAGGCAGTCAGGAGGCGGGGCCATTTGAGAGGGAGGGGCCCTGTGCTGATGAGCTGGAGGAAGCTCCCGGGTGAGGCTGGCGAGCAGCTCCCCAGATCCAGGCTCCCGGGACAGGAAAGCGCTAGAGTCAGACAGACCCAGGTTGGAATCCTGCTTCCACTGCTTGCCAGCTGTGTGACCTTGGGCAAGTGCCTTTAATGTTCTGTGCCTCGGTTTGCTCATCAGTGCAATGGGTTAATCATAGCAGCGGCCTCTGAGGGTTATGCTGAGGGTTCAGTGAGACTCAGTACGTGAGGACCTAGCACAGTGCTAGCACACAGTAAGAGCTTAATAAATGCTGCCTGCCCATATGCTGACTGTGCCTCAGTTTCTCACCTATCAATGGGGACAGAAGCAGTAACTACAGGATGGGGATGGAAGCTACTTCCGCGGACCCTCAGGGAGGAGGACAGGGAGTGGCTGTTCCCACGTGCCCCCCCTTCCTTTTAGGAACTCTGCTCATTGTTTGCCCTCGTCCTGTCTAGACGCCGTGAGGCTGTAAATTGCGTTGTGGCTTGAGGGTGTCTTGCGTGCCTGCATGTTTTGTTAACTCCTTGGGGGCAGGAACAAGCCTCTGCCTCAGCGCCAAACCTAAATCATGCTTCTGTGAGTGACTCGAGGGCAGGAAGGAGGGAGGGAGAAAGGAAGACGAGAGAGATGAATGAAGCTACTGAGATTTGAACAGAACGTGACAGCTCCCTGGCTGCAGGACCAGAGGCTTCTGAGGTCGTTGAGTCAACAATGAGAGAAGTAGAAATAATACCAGCAGATCCGCGTTGCTGAGCAGAGCACCACACCGATGCGATCTCGTTTGCTCCCCCCCCCCCGACAAACACCCGCAGCAGGTGCAACTCTCGTGCCCATTTTGCAGATGAGGAAAATGGAGGCTTGGATAACTCAGCCATTTTCCTGTGTGATCACACAGCTTCAGGGGTCAAGCCCAGACTCGCCGAGTTCCTGAGCCTGAGTTAAATCCCTGTCGGCTCAGCCCCCGCCCTTTATGAGGTCGTGGGCCTTGCACCTCGGTGCCCTCGAAGCTCGGACACGGCTCCTGAGTTCTTGCCCCAAAGCTAGAGGACGTGTGAGCTGGGCCAAGAGATGGGGACGTTCTGGGTGGAGGGAACGGGGTGTGGAAGGCTCCCAGGCGAGGAGGAGGAAGGGCTCAGCAGTGGAGGCCGGCCCACTCAGGATTCATATTTTGGATGCGTGACTTGGGGGCTCCACGAGGGAGGAGAGTAATCTGTGAGCTCACGAGCCTTCTCTGCCTGTGGCCTTGGGCAAACCTGTCACTCTCCGAGCCTCGGGGGCCCCATCTTTAGAGCGTGGATAATGACAGGACCTACCCCCGCTGGACTCATGGGACCAAAGGAATGTGCTTGATAAAAGGCGCAACGTTAAACAAATATGAAGGGACAGCTCAACGGCAGTGACAGCCGCCTGGACCGCAGAGCCAGCCGCACGGGGCTGGCGTGCAGATTAATCAGTCTACACACACAAACACTTAGAAGCATGCCCGGCGGGGTACACCCCAGTGAGTGTTGCCCATCACAGTCATCGTCATCTTCATCACAGGTTTCGTTCAACCACACAGATCTGCACTGAGCATCTGTTCCGTGTCGGGGCCACAGCGAGGACCAAAACCGAATCCTAAGGAGAGCACGTTTAGGAGGAGAAAAACAGTGCTCCCCTGGGTGCTGGTGGTTTGGAGCCACATAAAGCAGGGGAAGGGGACGGGGAGCACCAGAGAAGGGTGTTCGTGAGAACGCACCTGGGGGAAGCGATGGCGGGTGCCAGGCAGGTATGTCGGGAGGGAGGCACAGCACGTGCAAAGGCCCAGAGGTGGGACTGGACTTGTCATGTCCCAGGAACCTCAGAGAGGCCAGGGCGCCAGACAGGACTGAGCCAGGAGGAGAGTGGTGGGAGGCAGGTCAGAGAAGTGGGGGTTTGGGGGACAGCTCGGGTCTGACTTTGGCCTTTAAACCTCCCTGGGCTGCGAAGCCATCGGAGGGGGATCTATTTATTCCTGTGCTAAAAGTCAGTTCTTCCTCAGAACCCCAGGAAACGTGCTTTGTTTAGAACCCTCCTTGAGCATCACCTTGCATGACATGAAATATTTTTCAAAACATTCAATCCTTTAATCTGGGCCCCTCAGCAGAATCAGTTCTTTATCACACCATCTGCTGTTTCGGCCGTGCCATAAATAACTTGGGAGATTCGACTTCTAAGGCGCTTATCTCTTTTGTTCTCTCCAAATTCCGAGAAACGGCGTTTGAATTTTCCTCGGAGAGCTGTGGCACGTCTAAAATTCATGTCCCTCCAGTCCCGGGTTGGGGCTGCCATTAGGAAGTCATCGGTTAGGGAGGCGCCGGAGGTGGGTGGAAAGTGTTTCACTTCTGGTCTGCGGGTCCCATTAAATTTCATAAATGAGGCTCGATGTAAACGCAGGCGAGGCGGAAAAACCAGCCGCCCCTCCCGACCACGCTCGGGCCCTCCATGTCACCCCCTGAAGGAGGCCAGGGCGGCTGTCACATTGGATCGGGATTAAAATGGTGGAGCCCCCGCATGGGTCCAATTTCGCTAATTCTGAAGAAAATGAACTAAGAGCTAATGGCGTGGGATTATGTCCCCTGCTTGCAGCTTGGGAATTATTCATTATGGTATGGGAATTAGGGGGCCAGCCGAGCAGGGGGTGGCAAAAGGGCTGCCCAGGAATTCAGATGCACGCTCTGCTCTCCCCTTGGTTTTAGGGGGGGACAATCTCCTGAAGCTGTCGTTTCCGTCCATCTGCCAAGTGTTGGCTCCGTGTCGGTTTTCACTTCTCACGCATTTAATGACCTCCATAAGGGAGAAAAGATGAATTCTCTGGGTGAAGCCGGGGTGAGGCCAGGAGCCCCAGGCTGTCCCCTCCCCACCTGCTCACTGCTCTCTGGCCCTCAGTCTTAGCCCCTGGGGGTCCCTGGGAGGTAGTTTGAAAACCACTGGTCCTTGTTATTCCACCAGTTCGCAGATGCTGCTGGTCGGGACCTGTTCTCGGTAACCTGACGCCCCCTACAGGGCGTGGGGAGCAGCACATGGAGGGTGAGGCTACAGCAATATGGGGGGTGGGGGAACACAACACACAGGACTATGGGGACAGACACTCCAGCGTCCTTGACCTTTCCTCTCTGACTCAGAAGAGATCAGCGGCATGTGCCATTTTGTGTCTTGCCTTTTTTTAAACTAACAGTGTTCTAAGTGTTTGCCCTGTCATTGAAAATCCTTCGTAAGCACTTCTGTTTCTAAAATTTTTAATTGCCTTCTGTAAATTGAAAAAGTAACATGCTCACGGCAAAAAATATATTGAACCCGTGCCAAAGAGTGTACAGTGAGGACAATGAGGAGACACCTCCCTCGGCTTCAGAACCTAGCTCTTCTCTCCGGGGGCAGGCTTCCATAATGTTCCTTGTGTATTGTTGTGCATTCTTCCAAAACGGTTCTCAGCCCGTACAATACACGCATATTCCGTGTGCACATCTGTATATTTTAAAATATAGTTAGGTAATTGCATAAAACTCTTCTGCGCCTACTTTTCTTCACGAGCCACCATATCCTGGGATCTTTGATGAGCAGCCCAACAGAGCTGACTGCATTTTTTGGTTAACACATTAAGGGCGGGTTTTAATGGCTGCATACTCTTCTGGTCTGCAGACAGGCATTATTTACTCGGGTAGTACAAGGGGGCAGGATTTTGAAATATTTCTCTCTTAGGGGGCCTGGGGGGAGCGTTTTTAGACGACAGGAGCAGTTTAGGCATAAGCCAGGAGGTGGGGCAAGCCAGGCTGTTTTTTCCCACTGAACCTACTCGATATCTGACTCTGTGTGTGTGTGTGTGTGTAGGGCTGTGTAAGACCCACCCTCCACACGCCCCACTTCCAAACCCAGAAGCAGAGCAGTGTTCCCAGCATAGATGGGGTCTCCTGTCAGAGGGACCAGCCTGTGTTGCCTGGTGTGACTTCAACACTCCCAACCCCATCTCTAAAATGCTTGTTTTATTGGTCACATGCCCATATTTCCTGTATGCCAAGGACTGTATCTTATCTTTAACCTTTTATTGAAACATAACACTGAAAAGAGCAAAACTCACTTATCCAGCTCCGTGAATCCCCACAAAGTGAGCACACCTTGTAGCCAGCTTCCAGATCAAGAAGCAGAACAAGGTGGGCCCCAGAGACCCCGGGGCCGCTGCCCCCCCCCCACCCCCCCCACTAAGTGAGTACTCTGCTAACTTCTCACCCCGGACATCACCTTTGCCGGGTTTTAAACTAAAACTATAAATGCAATCACACTGTGTGTTCTCTTGTGAGCTTTTTATTTTTTGCTCAATATTATGTTTGTGAGATTCACCCAAGTTGCATGAATTTATCCATTCCATGTGTGATTTGCAAAATCTCAAGGCTCTGTATAAACATATGGATAAGTATGTATATACAGAAATATATGTGTATATTCGTGTTTGTATATATACATATAGATGCACATATATACCCTGTTTTATATGTGCATATATGTACGTATGTAGCTATAAGCAACCGGATAGACACAACATACAACTCTTCTCCAGACTCACTGATCCTTTCTGCTGCTGACGGCTTACAGTCATTTCAGTTTCGGGATATTACAAAGAGAAACAGCATCTCTGAGTCCTCAGAGCGGGCCGCTGAGGCTGGTCCTGCTGGATCACGCCACGACGCGGAGGCTCAGAGAGGCCCATCGACTCGCCCGCGGCGCACAGCCGCGGGCGGCGCTGGGATCCGCACGTGGGCCCCGCCCCGCTGACCGCCGCCCTGTCCCCACAGGCCGAGGAGGCGGGTGGCTCCCGGCAGCCCCGCGCCGACCGCTGCCCGCCGCCCCCGCGCTCGCTGCCCCCCGGCGCGTGCCAGGCGGCGCGCTGCCAGGCCGACTCGGAGTGCCCGCGCCACCGGCGCTGCTGCTACAACGGCTGCGCCTACGCCTGCCTGGAGGCCGTGCCGCCCCCGCCAGGTAGGCGCCCGGGCCCGGAGAGGGGGAGAGGGTGGACACCGCGGGTCACCTGTCCCGCCCTGCCCGGAGGGGCCCGGAGGGGAGGAACGGAGCTGGGCGCACACCTGGGCCGTCCCCCTGCGCAGTGGGACTCTGAGGCTTCCTGCGCAAGCATCCTGCTGGATGCACTGAGCGCCAGCTGTGTGCGGGGCAGCCACTGCCTGCAGAGCTACGGCCCAGGAAACACCCCTCCCAGGGAAAATGACCCCTCTTATGAGGCTGGGGGGTGGGGGGTTTCTCCTTAAAAACCCACATTTCTGGCTTTTCTTAAAAATGGTGGACCACATTCCCTGGGCCCCCATCCGCTGGAGCCTCAGGTGCCCCGTGGATGGCAGTGGGGTCCTCCAGCTTTCCACCACCCCACCAGGCCCACTCGACCCGTGCTGCCTGGCCCTGGGGGTATTTGAAATGCATTCCTGGAACCTTAGTAGTCTGAGTGGGGTATGCCCCAGAGAGGTGGGGGAGGCAGACCCCTGGGTTCAAATCCACAGCTAGCTGGTCACCTCCTTAAATCTCCTCACCAGAGAACAGGCCTGGAGAGAGAGCGAGCGAGTGGCTCAGGGCAGAGTCTGCACACTGGGCAGTGCTCAGCCCCACACCCGGCTTGGGGCAGGTGATCAGTGACGTCTTTGTGGAACCCTTACACGGATCTCTGGGAGACGGTGCTCAGGGATTCATCAACACAGAGGTGTTTCTGACCCCTTCCAGAGAGAGGCTTGGGGAGGGCAGGGAGCCCGGGGACACTGAGGGGGATGGCAGCTCCCTCCCCCCGGTGGGGGAAAACTGCCCCCTGAGTGCCCAGGATGGGGGCAGTAAACATCCCCCCCTCAGTTCTGCCCGGGCTGAGCCTTTAATAAGAACAGCCTGGGGCTGGCCCAGTGGCATAGTGGTTAAGTGCACAACTTGCACTTCTCTGCAGCCTGGGGTTCGCCGGTTCGGATCCCGGGTGCAGACATGGCACTGCTTGTCAAGCCGTGCTGTGGTAGGCGTCCCACATATAAAGTAGAGGAAGATGGGCATGGATGTTAGCTCAGGGCCAGTCTTCCTCAGCAAAAAGAGGAGGATTGGGAGCAGATGTTAGCTCGGGGCTAATCTTCCTCAAAAAAAAAATATTAACAGCCTGATTGACTGCACCTTTCAGCAACAGGCTTCAGGGTCCCCCCGCCTTAATTCCTGGAGGCAGCTCTGAGACGGCGGCCCCAGCCCCTGCTCCCAAGGCCAAAGCAAGACTGACCGCACTTTGTTCTCCTTGGGGTGAGGTCACAGCGATGACAAGGGACTCAGCACCCTTAATAACACTCATAATTACAGTCTCCAGTGCATTCGAGCACCGCTGCTTGTCCAGGGCCGGGGTGGGCGCTCAGGCCCAGGCTGGCTCCTCCAGGGCGCTTTAGAAGAAAGAGAAACTGGGGCGCCCTCCTGGTGGAAGAAGCACACAGAGGTGCTCCCCTCTCAGGGCAAGTCAAAAAGGGTGCCCCTTCCTTTGGACTGCAATACGGCATAGGGATTCTGGCTTCACTTGCCACCCAGGCCAGGTGCTTTTGAGCAGTGCACAAAATGTACAACTGTCCATGACATTCCCAGTAGCCTTTCTGTACATCATCTCATTTAATGGTCACACGGTCCCATGGGGTGGAGGAAGTGTTATCAGCTGAAGACACTGAAGCTCGGAGAAGCTGAGTCACTTGCCCAAGGTCACACAGCAGGCGGAGCTGGAGTTTCAATCCAGTGTTCTGAGTGTGGAGAAGTGTCTGCTGCTTTAGGCCCTGAATGCAGGGATGTGGCGCCCCCTAGGCACATTTGTGGGGTCCTTCACTGCCCGGAATATCCTTCCCCCAGACACCCACACAAGTCACTCCCTCACCTCCTTCAGATCCTGGTCCCGAGGGGGTCACTTTCTCAGGGATCTCCCTCTAAATGGCCATCCCTCCTCTGGCCATTCCTTACCCCATTCCCTGCTGAAGTTTTCTTTATAGCACAATCTGGATTGTTGTGTTTTGTTTTTGACTGTTCCCCTCACTTGAAAGGGAGCCCCCGAGGCAGGAGGTTTGGTCAGTTTCATTCATGGCTGTATCCCCACCACCCAAAACCGTCTCTGGGCGCCTAAAAGATACTCCAGTGAACCGTGAGTGAATCAATGAATGACTCGCTTCCCTGGCCAGCAGGAAGGGCCGTCAAACCATTAATTAGTCATACTAACAATTAGAGTAATAATATCGAACACGGCTTCTCACCCCGGGCACCCTTCACATTTGGGGTTAGATAATTCTAGTTGAAGTGGGCGCAGGGGGCTGGCCTGGGCATCCTCGGATGTTGAGCAGCACCCCTGGCCTCTACCCATTAGATGCCAGCAGCACCGCACCCGACAATGTGACAACCAAAAATACCTGTAGACTTTGCGGAATGTTCCCTGGGGGACAAAGTTGCTCGACACTGAGGACCACTGATCTGAGACGAGCGGATGACTTGAAATGCGCCAGGCCCTGCGCCCAGCAGCCCACACGCTTCATTGCCGTCTTCCTGTGGGTCCCCCCGAAGGCAGCCCCTGAGATAAGGGCTTGGGCGCGGGGCGCTTATTTAGCAGGTGATCCCAGGAAGCTCTAGTGAGAGAGCAGAGGGGAGACCCTGGGCCTCCAGGCTTTAGGGGTCTGCAGATGAACGGGAGGCCTGGAGCGAGGTTCAATATTTCCAAAAAGTACAGGAAAACGTGCCCATGTCCCCGCTGCTCGGAAGTCTCTGAGCAACGCAAAGGATGATACAGACAGTGAACACGAATACGTTCCCTACTGGTAACAATTGCATTGGAAATACGTTCACTAACAGGTGGTCCAGGGTGGTGGGGGGAGGAGGGAAGGAGCAGGAGATGGGAAACAGTGGCTGTGGGGCCTCGTGGGGTCATCCTGGAGTTTGGAAGTTGCAAACGCTGGTCTGTTCCTCTGTTGTTTCATTTCCACGTTGCGAGCTACCATCTCATGCTCTTTTAAGGAAAAAGCTAACCAGCATTTTTACCGATGTGCATCTGTGTACTTTAAAAGGTGCTAGACAGCACACCAGCCTCTTTATTTTTGTCATATTCTGGAGTCAAACTAAAGCGGAGGTCGAACACAAATGTGACCCCAGACCAGTTTTATTTGATCTCCAGAGCACTTAGAATTTTTAAAAATTAATTGCCAACATTTAAAAACCTGGAATTTATAGTTTAAAAAATATAGCCTTAAAGTTTTTTTGAAAAAACCCCAAACCCCAGAGGCCCTGGGAACCTGGGAATGGCCGGCCAGAGCTAACCAGCAGCTGACCCAGGGAGGCAGCAACAGGCTCCAGTTTGCCGTGGTCCTGCCTGCCCTCCTGCTTTGTCACCTGTCTGCCCCGTGGAGGCATTTGGGCTTCTGACTCCTGCTTTGGTTTTTGAGGACCTTCCAGTCTACTGTGTGGGTCACTCTTCCTATTAGAAATGTATTGGTTAGAGAACAGGCTGTGCTACTGTAACAAAAAGACTTGTAAATCCGGGGGCCCACCTGCGAGGCGTTTACCTATCCCTCAGTTAATAGGCGAGAGTCGATGGGTGATCCATTGCAGGCAGGTGGCTCCACTCCATAGTCATCCAGGGCCCCAGGTTCCCTCCGTCTTGTTGCTCTGCATGGTCAGAGTAGCTCCCAGCCTGCAGGAAGAGGGAAAGAGAGAGGGAGGGGAGCAATCAGGCATCAATGCAAGGGCGAGACAGGAAGTTGCATCATTGCTTCTGCTCACATCCCATTGGCCAGAACTCAGTCACTTGGCAACACCTAGCTGCAAGGGAGGCTGGGAAATGTAGTCTCCAGCCCGGCCACCTGGTGCCCAGCCAAAACTCAACATTTCTTTAACAAAAAGGAAGGGGTGAACATATGCTGGAGAACCCCAGCTGTTTCCCCCACAGGGAGCCCCCGTGTTTCATCATAAAATGTAGGCTCCCCCACCCCAGAGGCTGGGCCATTTCTCAGCTGCCTGAGGAGGGCCTCGATTTAACCATGCGTTGTGTTAGTTTTAGACTGGCTGGTGCAGCCGAAACCTCGATGGCTTGGTGGCAACGGCTGGCTCCTGGATGGCCCTGAGGAGACGTTGCAAGGTACCTACAGGGTGAACCCCCCCGACATCAGAGCCAGGTCCCCCTGTCTCAGGCTGCCACCAGGAAACTGATGACAGGGGCTGCCTGTGCCCCAGCAGGCTGTCTGTCCCCAGACACTCAGCCCTCTTGGATTCCCCCCTCACTGCAGCACAGAGGGTGGTGGCGGGGGCTTGGCCAGGCCTTCAGAATCCCCAGAGCCGTGTAGGGCTTGACCCTTCCTGGGAATGGGGCCTCCTTCCTGGTGGAGAATTGAGAGGGGGGGCTCGGGGTTTTCAGACCCTAAAATCATAAGAAGGTGTTCACTGCTCCCCAGTGATGAGGCCTCCTTCCTGGGTGTGTGGAGAGCCATCTCCTGGGGGCCCAGAGACTCGCAGCGGTGTGAGAGTGTACATCTGCGTGTGCACAGCTGTGCTCGTGACTCTGCACACCTCTGGGTGTGTGCCTGTGTCCATTAGGGTGTGCAGCTATGCATGCAACTGTGTGGCTGTTCTCGTGGCTGTGTCTGAATATTTGTGCATCTGTGTGCATGCAAATGTGTGTGAGTGTGTGTGTGGTGCAGGATTTGTGTGCCTGTGAACGTGTGTGTGGGTGGCTGTATGTGTAGTGTGTATATGTGTTTTAGGACTCATGGGGTGGTGAAAATACATGTGTGATATGTGTGAGCATGTGTGTGTGTCAGGATAGGTGTGTGTGAACACATGTACACATGTGACTGTAGCATGAGCATATGTGTTTCAGGGTGTGTGGGTGAACATGTATCTATGTCCGTCACTATGCATGTGAGGCCGTGTTTAGGATCATGTTCCTCTGGACTGCCCCTTTGTGCATGTGTGCGTGTGTGCATGTGTGCATGCGCACATGCATGCCGCTGTGAGACCCAAGGCTCAGCGTGGAATCTGGGGTGCAGATGAGAGGCAGCCCCTCTGGGTGATGAGCATTCACTGCCCTGCGGGGGGCTGCCCCTGAGACCCCGCGTGTGTCCTTCCCACAGCAGAGGCATGCAGCACCACGGAGGATGGGGCCGAGCCACTCCTCTGCCCCTCAGGCTACGAGTGCCACATCCTGAGCCCGGGAGACATGGCCGAGGGCATCCCCAACCGCGGGCAGTGCGTCAAGCAGCGCCGGCAGGCAGGTGAGTGTGGGTGCCCAGCCCTGCTGCAGCGGCCCTCTCCACGTACCCCCACGGGAGACTGTCCCAGAGAAACCATCGGCTCCTCCCGCCCCGCCCCTCCTTTCGGGTTCTTCACCCCTTGCCTGCACGAGACATGGGCCCTTGAGCAGGCAGACTGGCTTCAAACTCCCATTCTGCCATCTCCTACAGGGCTGACCTTGGGTCACTTGTTTCAAATCTCTGAGCCTCAGTGGTCTTATCTGTAAAATGGGGCTACTTTATGTTATTATGGAGATTAACATAAAACATACATGTGAAGCTTGGTGATGACAGGTGCTCCGTAAACGTCGGATATTTCATATGCATCTAGGTAGATCTATGTTTTGAATTGTCCGAGAACCCCTGACTTCCCAGGACCTCTGCTAGGACCATGCAGTGTGACTTCATTAGTCTTCGTCTTTGGAGACAGGGCAATAAACAGACCAGCAAAGAGCGTGAATAGCATTGCTTCCGTTTGCATAATTTTCTGTTGGAGGGCAAGGAGGGCAAGGAGGTACCTAGATACCTGGGTACACCACATGTGCCTCCTGCAGGGCGTGAAGTTGAGAGGTTTGCTGTGGAGTTTGGCAGAAATGGGTGGCAAGCAAAGAGTCTGGAACTTCAGGGAGATGTGGGGTAACCTGGTCAAAGCAGAGCTCACTGGAGCCCTGAGCCCACCCAGTCCAGGGCTCGCATCCCCGCCTCGGCACCTCTTAGCTCTGCTCACTGAGGACAGCATCCTCGGTTACGATGGAGGATAATTCCAGCCACCCCGTGGGCTGAAAGAACACATCAGTGCGTGATCTGCCAAAGCACTTTCTTCCCCTCATTTGAGAATCTGTCTCCCTGAACTGTTTCCAGAAAGAGATAGGCATTAAGTCAGTTACGCATTTAACATCATTATCATTGCAAATAATAAAATTATGAGACATCAGAACTGTCTCGAGAATCCTAGTTCCTGGAATTCTGAGCTTTGAAAAAATTGCCTATAAAAGGATTTGAACCACCTAGGCATTGGTGTGGTTTTCCCTCCATTTCACGTGCTATTTGGGGCTGTGAGCGGGTTCTCCAGCCAGACGGCCTGCGGTCTGAGGGCCACTTGGTCCCTCACTGCTGTGGGCAGCAAATAGCCTAACCTTTTGGGGCCTCGTTTTCCTTGTCTGTAAAATGGGCTAATCATACCTGAGCTACTTCACGGACTGGCTGAGGAATCCACATAAACCAGGCCCATCACTTTGCGAGCACAGAACAGAATCTCTGCCATTTGCATCGTTGTTCATCTCTAGACACCAAAGCACACCGTAGCGGGGTGTGGTCCTTCAGATGCAAAACTCCGAGGGCAGGCCAGCCTGCAGGAACCTGCTGGAGGGTGGAAGGGACAGCCTTTTCCGAACGAGAGTGGTGGGGCAGGTTAGGAGTCCTTTGATGGTGATGTCATTGCTGTAACCAGAGAGGCCGGGCACTGCCTCGCCTCTCATCTTCTGATCGCGCTCATTCAGTTATGTCACTTCCAAGACCAGGGTAAGCCAAACCAGTTCAAACCAGTTCCAGAGGGTCCAAACCAGTTCAAAACAGACCCACTTCAAGGTTGGAGGTTAGCGGAGAGAACAGACGAGTGAATGACTGTGCTTGGGATGCGTGCCGTGGTTTGAGCGCCTCACGGGTGCCCTCCTTAAGCTTTAGTGCAAGCCCGTCAAAGAAGTTGAACCAGGAGGCAGCGGTGTGTCTGATTAAGAATGCAGGCTCAGAACCACTGAACTGGGTTCAAATCCTGTGGCTTTCTTCCTGGTGACCTTGGGCAGGTAACCTAACCTCTCTTAGCCTCAGTTTCTTCCTCTGTATCCTGGAGATAGGGATGGTCACAGTAGTAATTGCCCTGGGGTAGTTATGAGGCTCGAAAGAGAGAACACCCATAAGGTGCTTAGAGGAGCACCAGACGCACAGTAGGTCCTCAATGAATGTGTGCTGCCATCGTGTCTGTCCACGGAAGAGGGCAGAGTTGAGATCAGGAACTCGCCCAGACAGTGCCCACGGCTAACCAGGAGCAGAGTGGGAACTCTGAGCCTGTTCACCTGTTCCCAAGCCCGTGAGTGTGTGTGTGTGTGTGTGTGTGTGTGTGACATCCCAGGGGGCTGTCACTTAGCAATAATTTTTGTTAATTACATGGAAGTTTGGAAACATCTTGAATTCCAGCAAGTTCCCTTGGAGCAGTGGCCTCAGGGAGGAGCACTCTTTTCCCAGGGTAACCAAAGAAGAAGCCTGTTATTTAAGTTTTGTTTTTTAAATTACACATTTGAAATAATTTCAGACTCACGGAAAAGTGGCAAGAATAGCACCTTGGACCCTCCACCCAATCCATCAATTGTTAAAATACTGTCACGTTGGCTTTGTCATTCTCTCTCTCCCTCTCCCCAACCCCTGCTCTCCCTCCGTACACATCTACCTATTTATTTTTCTGGACTATTTGAGAATAAGTTGCTGATCTCGTGCCCACACCTAAGATGCCAGTCTTCTCTGAGAGCCGGCTTCTAGACGGGGCCGAAGATCACTGGGATTTCACAGTCCCTCAGCCTGGGACCCGACGTGGGAGGGGTCACGTCTTTCTTAAGAGGAAGATGAACATCGACACGTGCAGGAAATCTGATTCCTCGGAGGACTGGGTCAAGGAATCCGGGCATTTTTCTGAGGGCATTCGAGGTCATTCAGAGGCTGACCATTCAGGGCCGAGAGGTGGGAGATGGGGCCCCATGCTTGCCTCTGACAAGTGACTTCATGGGATGCTGCGTGAGAATAAAGTAGGGCCACGCAGCCTTGAGCAGGGGAATCTGTTTTGTAAAAACGACATGGGATCTCTTTCGGTAAACATAGTAGGTGTGAGGTGGGTGTCCACTTCCACACATAGCTCTTCTCCTTTCTGTAGCATCATGGGCCAGAATTCCTCCCCAAGGAGAAGGGAGGAGCCGGGATGTCTCGGGGAGGAGCCTCCCGCCTGGAAAATCTCCATGTGCTTCGGAAAATAGTTGTTACCACAGTGGCTGATAAGCTGTCCACCTGAGGGTGGATTGCTCCACTGGATTCTGTCGCCTTAAACAATAAATGTCAGGGCTGGTCAGTCCTAAACACCCTGAGGATTTTTAGGATGGTCATAAAACAGCAGAAAACAAAAGGTCCGTCTATAGCACAAATATGAGTTTTTAGTGAGATGTCATTGACAGATAACATTATATTAGTTTCAGGGGTGTAAATGTGATTTATTAACGTTACAGCAGTCAGACAAGCCCAATATGCCGAGGTGGGGAAGCGAGCCAACTGACGGCGGCCTTTTGCGCCTTCTGGCCTGACTTCCCCACTCTCCCTCGAATGTTTCCCTGCCGTGATGGGGGGCCGGGTGGAGGGAAGACGTGGGGTCGATGACAATCCACAGCAGGAATTATGTAGTGGAAATTGTCAGTAATTTGAGACATGAAATTGCCAAGAGTTGACCGCTTCCTACATATAAAAATGGCAATTTAAAATCATTCCTCCTAATATTGGCATATATATGTTTTAAATGAAATTATTTCTTTTAATCCTCACAGTCACTTCAGAGGATTTTGTGCCCGCTTCCAGGTGTGAAAACCGGGGCTGAGAGAGGCTCAGCGGAGCAGTGGAGGGAAGACGCGTCCTTGAGTTCTTTGTCATTTTCAGTTATTACATTCAAGTCTCTTTTGAATGGACTCGAAAGAGCACCACTCACTCCCCCTGTGAACAGAGTTTGTAATGACACTTGCTGAACAATATGTTGACCTTTTGCTTCCAGTTCATCCTTTTTTTTTTTAGATTGGCACCTGGGCTAACAGCTGTTGCCAATCTTTTTTTTTTTTCCTGCTTTATCTCCCCAAACCCCGCCTGTGCACAGTTGTATATCTTAGTTGCAGGTCCTTCTAGTTGTGGAATGTGGGACGCCGCCTCAACGTGGCCTGACGAGCGGTGCCATGTCCGCGCCCAGGATCCGAACCCTGGGCCGCCACAGTGGAGCGCGCGAACTTAACCACTCACTCGGCCACGGAGCCGGCCCCCCAGTTCATCTCTTAAGACAGTGGTTCCCAAACTTTTTGGTCTCAAGACTCCTTTACACTCAAAAAATATAGACAACCCCAGAGAGCTCTCCTTGGTGTGGGTATGGACATCAGCTGTGATATCACATGTCCTGTAGCTTCTGGAAACTTCTACCATACCCTTGTGGGAGATTGAGAGTGAAAAACTACAAATAATTCTTTAGTATTATTATGGAAATAGTTAAGGGCCCTATAAACTCCACGAAAGGAGGTTAATCCTCTCATTTGTTTTCCAGATGGGCGATTCCTACGACACAAATTTCACAGAGAGTATCCAGGTAAGAGAGGACACCACTCTTTCTTTGCAGAGGGTATGGAAAAGGACCATGAGTATTTCTCAGGTGAAGAAGTAAAGTACAATCCCGTTGGCTGTTACGTGCACTCCAGTCTGAAGCTGCTCAGAAGGGAAACGCCCATCTTCTCCCCAGCTGCTTTTATGCCATCGGCTGGCACTTTGTGGGTGCGGTGGTGGGGTGCCAAGATGCTTCTGTTGTGAAATCTCTCCTCCAGCCTGAGCGGTCCTCCAGGTGGCATCTGATGTGGGCAGGAGCCATTCCAGGCTGCAGGCTGGGGCTAGGCAGCGGCTCAGGGATGTCTCACCGGGGAGAAATGGGAACTAGGATTGGAAAATAAACTAGATGCCCTGTTGTCTGACGGTGGGCGGGGGAGGTGTGAGCCAAAGAGGGGCTCACAGCACAAAAGGGCTCATGTTAAACATCAGAACTTGGGACTGGGTGTGCTAAAGTACCTCCTATTTTCATTCAGGGAACTGGAAATATGGCTGACACCGTCCTTCCATCCAGTCATCCTTCCATCCATCCACTCTTCCATCCATCCACCCATCCATCTATCCATTCTTCCATCCATCCACCCATCCACTCTTCCATCCATCCACCCATCCATCTATCCATTCTTCCATCCATCCACCCATCCACTCTTCCATCCATCCACCCATCCATCTATCCATTCTTCCATTCATCCATCCATCCACCCATCCACTCTTCCATCCATCCACCCATCCATCTATCCATTCTTCCATCCATCCACCCATCCACCCATCCATTCTTCCATCCATCCACCCATCCATCTATCCATTCTTCCATCCATCCACCCATCCATCTATCCATTCTTCCATTCATCCATCCATCCACCCATCCACTCTTCCATCCATCCACCCATCCATCTATCCATTCTTCCATCCATCCACCCATCCACCCATCCATTCTTCCATCCATCCTCCCATCCATCTATCCATTCTTCCATCCATCTACCCATCCACCCATCCATCTATCCATTCTTCCATTCATCCATCTATCCATTTGTGCATCCATCTATTCTTCCATCCATCCATCTATTCTTCTATCCATCCATCCATCCATCCATCCATCATATCTTTATTAAGAATCGACAGCACATATTTATCAAGCTTTGTTCTGTGCTTGAGGTTGGGGCTACATTGGTGAACATGGAAGACCCAGTCCCTGCCATCAGGCAGCTAATATAAAGCAGGAAATTAAAACATTAATAAAAACCCAAGTGGTTATTTAGTGACAAGAGTGATCAGGGCAATTGAGGTCATATACAGGAAACTGTGAAAAGGACATCTTCAACTAGGATGTCAAGGAAGCCTTCCTGAGGAGGGGACATGTAAGCTCAGCCTAGAGAACAAGACATAGTCTAAGGGCAGAGGAACAGCAAGTGTGAAAATCCTGAGGTTGGCAGCAACCCGGCCATCACTGCAGCCGGAGTGTGCAGTGAGCAAGGGGGTGAGTGGCAGGAGATGAGGGCAGAAGTGCAAGCAGTGGGGCCCTGGTGAGCAGAGGGGGGAGGCTGCAGGGGGGCGTGGGTGACCTCATCTGGGGAGAAGGGGGGCACAGGGCCAGGGCGCCGGGCCAGACCGAGGTATTTGACCGACTTTGGCAGTGGCTGGTGAGCCGTGACTGTTTGAGCAGGAATTGCACACCCGCCCTGACAGCCCAGTTCTCTTTACAGAAGGTGACTCCAAGAACGTGGCAGAGCACGGAAAAGGACAACAGAGGCACTTTCAGTAACGCGACGACAGCAGGTGAGTGGGAGGAGTGATGAGTCAACGGCGGGCCGTGGCTTCAGGCAGCCACGTGGCTTTAATCACAAGTTGCCCAGTGGGAAGGGGAGAATGGGGCTCTACCTGAGGGGGAATTTTTAAATTTCCTTCCGATTTCAAAGTGAACACTGGAGAACTTTGTGTGTAATCAGAAGCGAAAGTCCATATTCTCTGGACCTAAGTCTGCAGACTAGACAAGGCTGTCACTTTCTTTCCATTCCTTTGTCTTAATGCCTCCACGAACAGACAGACAGGTCCTCCACTGTCCACAAAGTCTGTCCCTCTGTCTCCCCCTTCCTCTGTCACACTCGACTGTCGAGTGCCAGCTCTATGATGGGTGGGTACAGGCATGGCACTCAACAGTCGCCCATGGATTTCTGTGTAAGCCAGGAGTGCTGGGTAATGCAGCGAATGAATCAGAGAGCTCCTGCCCTCGCGGGGCTCACATCCTAGGAGGAGACTAAACAAGCCAATAAGTAAATCAGCAAGAAAGTGACAGACTGCCGCAAGTCTTGTGAAGGAAACGGACGAGCGATGTGAGGCAGAGTCAGGGGCGAGGACAGGGAGCTGCTTCAGGTGGGGGCAGGGAAGGCCGCGGTGAGGAGGTGACATCAAGGATAAGAAGGTGCTGCCCTGGGAAGACCTGGAGAATGAGCACCCAGGCAGAAGGAGCCGGAAGAGCAAAAGTCCCGAGGCAGGAAAGATGTTGGCTTTGAGGAAGCACTGGGGTGGGAACAGAGTGATGGCGGGGAGGCAGGCACCAGAGGTCACAGGCTCTGCTCTCAGACACTCTCCAAGGTGAGCTGCAGGTGGATGCACAGAGCTGTGGGATGGCAGCTCGGAGGGGTCTCAGTGGGTAAAATCTGACCACCCACCCATGCCCCGGAGATGCTGAATGTCTACACATGGTAGACAAAAGCCCTGGAGAGTGGACGAGCTCCCCAGGCTGTCCTTGAAAGGTAAACATCAGGTTTCAGATTCCAGAATATTCAGGTGTGAGTCGTCCGGGACAATCTAGACCCGTGAGGATGGATGCCAGCATGTCTATTACCTGCTGATGACAGGAACAGTCCTTGGAGTGGGGCTGACCCACCGAGGACTGTGAACTTCAAATGGGGAAGTGCTGGGGGCCAGCGGGGAGGAACAGGACTGTGAAAGCCAGTTCAGGATGGCTTTTAGGGGCCAGCCAGACCTGGGTTTAAACTCTCACTCTACCACCGTGTGACCCTGGGCAAATGACTTCAACTCGCCAAGCCTCCGTTTCCTCATCCGTAAAGGGGAAGGATGGGAAAGGATGCAGATGTAGGAACTAAATAAGATGGTACCCACAGAGACCTAACAGTGAGGTCGGAATTTAGCCTTAGCAGAAACTGGCATCTTTCGGGATTTCTGGCGGGTGAGGAAAAAGGAGGTGACACAGATTCGTGGCCCCATGTTCTGCCCAAGCAGTGGCTCCTATTCCTTCCTTCTTTGCTTCCCTTTCAGCCAGTTTACAAGAACATTCCTCCACTTTCTGCTAAGCCTTGGAAACAGTTGGGTAAAAATGATTTGACCCTCAGAAGTCACGCCCAGCTCAGCAGAGCACAACCCCAGAGAGACAGGACGCCCAGCTGTCAGCCCCAGCTTGGCCCCACCTGGCTGGGCGACTTTGTGGGAGCCCCTTACCAGCACCTGGTCCCCGTTTTATCATCCTGGAAACAAGGCACGCCCGGGAATCTCATCTGACCCTACAGCTCCGCAGGTCCTCCCCAGGGAAGAAGTGACTGCTGTTGCGAGCGTGTCTGAAGCCCTTTCTAAGACAGAGTTCAGTGTCCTGGTTCTTGACGACTGTCTTCCAGGTCTGACGCCGGGAGGCATGTCCCCATCCCAAATGCTCTCAAAATAAACTCACTCTTCATCACATGCAAATGCACTCACCTGCACATGCGTGATTCATAGTTTTAACCACCGGATGGTCTTACATTGAATGTACTGGTGCCACTGGGTCCTGGGGGCGGTGAGGGGCTGTCACTGGGATGAGAGGTCAGCTCAGCTCTGCTTCAGGAACCAGGAGCACCTGGGTCCCGTGCGCAGTGTTGGAGTTTGGGTCCCTCTGGAGCAGCCTTGGGAGGAGGGTCTGTTGAAACCTGTTTATGAGGAAAAGTTCCTGGGGAAAACGAGCAGAGGGATGGGGAAATGGGACGGGGGAGAAGGTCAGACGAGGTGAAGGGTCCAGGTCTCGCGGAGGATAACTTTGGCACCATCCCCTCAGGGGTCCTAGAGGCAGCCTGAGTCCCACCAGGGCCCCCAGGGGCGGTTCGGAACCCATGTGCTTGCTCAGAAGGGCTTTGCGCTTGGTGTGATGACATTCCTAGGATTTGTTGAACAACGGGGCGCACGTGTTCATTTTGCAAACGGTGCAGGTGGCCCTGAGTCACACTGTGGAGTCGGCCCAACAGGGAGGAAGGGAGTCGAGTGTGAATAAGGCCCCCAGCGCCCCTCAGTGATCAGGTATGGGTGGCCCCTTCAGCCAGGGGCTGTCAAGTACACAGGGACCCAAGGGGACATGGGCAGAGCCCCAGGGGCTCCTGTTACACAATCGAAATTTCAACAATGTCTGCACAAGAAGGGACGCACACAGACACAGGCTGTGGGGGATGCTTCAGTTCCCCCAACGGCTCGTCCCTTTCAAAAAGCCCCGTGGTGATTGGCGTTCATCAGCCCTTTGACAAGACTCCACCTTCTGAATTCCAGAATGGGCTCGTGTGGAGGCAACACCTGAGTACCCGTATGTTACACCAAGCAGCTCTCCCCTCTCCCGCCCCACCCACACCCACACACACACTCTTTCTCCCCATAAATCCGTATTCTCTTGGAAAATATTCCAAGTCCAATTTTAAGTGGAGATTGATGACTGATGGGTCTTTTTGTTTTTTGTCATTTCTGAGCATCAGTGCATTCATATTGCTCAAGAATTATTTTCTTGTTTTGTTTTTGTGTGTGGAACATGAGAGAAAAACAGTGAAGCGATTCATGTAAAAATTGTGTAAAGTGTGCACCTGTCACACTGCCTGGGGGCGGTTTGACCTTCACACTGATAGAAAAGAGAGGTGACCTTACCCAAGAGTGGCAGGTCCGACAGGAGACGAATACGATTGCCATTTTGCAGAGTGAGGTTTATGTCTGTCCCTTCCAGGCACCTGCCACGTCATAGAACTTATGCACGTGACTTCCTTGGGACAAGCCAGTGTGGGTCACTCATTGCGTTCCCAGTGCCCCACATGTCCTGGAGGGTCCATCTCACTGGTGTGGAAGGGACCCAAGCTGAGGTTGGCTGAAGCCCCAGGGGGTCAGGGGGGTGTCCTCACAAGCAGCCAGGCTCATCAGGGCTTAGGACCACAGGCCTAAGGGACTGTCCACCCCATGGCTCGCCACACACGGCGGAGGCAAACAGTCACAACCTTCAGGGACTTGAGTGTGCCTGGCATTCTCATTCATCTCCCAGAGGAGGAGACCAAGCGAGTGTCAGAGATCTGAAAGGACTCACCCAAAGTCCCAGGGCCAGTGAAGTGCCGGGGCCAGGACTCCACCCAGGTCTGCCTACCCACGGCTCAGGCTCCAGACACCCAGCTATTCCGCCAGTTCTGGGCTGGTGAAGCGGATTCCCTCCAGCCACTGAGGCCCAGAGGGGGACATTGCTGGTGTGCAGACCTGCACAGGGCTCTGGGTACAGAGCTGAGTTCATCCCCACTGCTGGAGGGCTGCCCGCTAGCCGGGGTGGAGAGAGTAGACTGGTCAACCTGGGTTCCAGTCCTGGGCGAGGCACTTACCCTCTCTGCGCCTCAGTTTCTTCCTCTGTGAAATGAGTGTGATAAGAGTAGCTGCCTTTCAGAGTTGCTGGGGGGATTACGTGAGACGATAGATAGTAAGAGCTCAGTGGGCACGGTTATAATTCCTTATTACTATTAGGGTGGCTCACTAGTCCCCGGGGTGCACAGCTGCCTCCAGTTGAGAACCTCTGGATGAAGCCCAAATAACAAGACTCCAATTGGCATCACTTCCGCCATCAGTCAGTTCCAGGGGAGCATTTCCCCTTAGGTTCGAGGTAATTAATTAACTTCCCCACTCACTCATCGCCTATTCATGCACTCACTCGTACATTCATTCTGTCAAGAAATATTTACCAAGCGCCAACCACCTTTTCTTAGAAAACCCAAGATGCACATTTTTTCATCTTTCCACATCTCTGAAGTTGGGATGTGTCACAGCTGTGGCCACCAGGCAGGAGGCGTCATTGCCGGCACATGAGCACGGCGAAACGTGCCCGTTGGCTGTAAGTGGCTTGGTGGAAACTTCCAGGAAACACAGAGGCACCGTCTTCTGGGAAATTCTGCGTCACCAGCCTCCCAGGGATTCAGAGGGCCACACTGGCAGAAAAACTCAAATATTGGTGACTCTGAGTGGAAAAGTCGGAAGATTGGGATGCAAAGGTAGTGATGTTCTTGGAAATGCCTTGTCCGGTTTATTTCACTTGTATTTTCTTTTTGGTGTACGAGAACGACACAGGATTAAAATCTAGGTCTAAAGAAGTCTGAAAGAGGTTTTTAATTTAAAGTTTGAAATAGAAAGGTAAAAGCATTAAACCAGCCAAGTGCCTTTTGCTGTTAATGATATATAAAGTTATGCATGAATTATGATATGATATGCCTGTCACTGTGTCAGTCTCAGATATAGATGGGAACAACCCAGAAATGGTCCCTGCCTGCAGGGCGTTGCTGGTCTAGCGGGGATTTGGACCACGGCCTGCTCTCCAGGGGAAGGGGCTCCGCCTTCCATCCCACTGCCCCCCGAGGGGCTCGCCTCCCCTCACCTGCCTCCCCTGTGTTGCTTCCCTGCCCTGGGTGCTCAGTCTGGAGGGGGCCACAGAGATGAATTGTTGCCGCAGGAGGTGGGATGAGTGCCCGGGCCCGTCTGGAAGCAGCTGTATTTCTCGGCTTTGAACC